AGACTTATGGAGTTTTCTCGGTAACGTTTCAAGTTGCATACATATCTTTGAACTTCCTTGCAACATTAAATGAATTATTGTTAAGAAAAACAACCCAACGGCAGAACTTTTATTAAAATCCGATACCAAGTCGATGAACTTGAATACGTGTTTTTAAACAAGACGGGATCATGTCCTGATGAAAATGATAACGTTATTTTGTTTTGTTTCGAATTCAGTAATTCTCTGGGATCTTGCATCGATCTGCTTTTCCCATTTAATTTCACTTCAAATACACGTTTATTCAACAAGAAACCATTACAACGTGAGATGCAGTTGTCGCTTAATGGCTAAATTGACATCCTGAAAAATCACTACTTTATATCAGTTACTTTCTATATAAAACATATGGATGATTTGAAACGACAGTTGCAGAATTGTTGTCTTGATACCAACTGTCTTTTTTTATTAGAAGGTATCGGAATCGAGTCAGTCCTGCAATGGAAGCCTTTGTTTATCAACACCACATTTTAACGAAGTCATACCGGACCAGCGTAATGTTTAGTAACGTTTAGTTGTTCTCAGGTACCACGTCTCAATAGGATATCTTCACTGATTGTTGGCAATATATTTTCTGTGATAATTCCTTAATTACGTCATCGCCGTTTTTGTTCTTTCAATAATTTTTCATTTTCTGATTTAGTTTGATTTTTATCGTTAATTTTTAGAATTTACATTGACAAATTATACAATTGTTATCTTGATAATCATAAATTGGTTCCGAGTAAATGATATTTGGTTGTAACTGCAAAACTGCATTTCAAGAGAAAGAAAATGAGTAGACACTATGAGCCAAATATGTAGATGATTGCATCACTATAGGGTTGCATTAGGAAAACCAATGTGTTTTCACAACAAAGTTGCAGTTAATTCCACTTTGTACTATGTTGAACCGTCACAAATTAGCCCACAATCGGGTCTTATTAAGATATCTCTAGAAAGCCTTACGATGGGCATACAATGCACGTAAACATGAACTGTGGAATGTTTAAACAACATGTCAGAATCCTGGGATTAACACAGGGATTATAAACATCGAACGCATGGCTAAATAGAAACACTCGTACCCACAATGCATCTGATATAGCCAATCAAAGGGGGAGATCCCCAAAGTTCAGAGTTGGTATTGGATCACATGGTATCCATAACATGGATCCATATAAGGCTGTAGAACCATATAGGAATCAAAGTGACTGTTGACACATTTTTCATTTAAAACAGAGAAACAAAGCGCAGCATAAAAACATAAAATATCACGCAAATATAAAAATAAACCAGGTATTGAAATAAAAACTATTAAAAAGACGCCTCCTTTCTTTTTTGTGGTCGTTTGTATGTTACAATATTTTTCAAGGATTGGATAAAGTTCAACGAACTTTACTTCATCTATTCAGATTCAACTCACTCAAGGATCTTCCGGAGAAAAATATAACTGTACATTAACTTTGATTTAAGAATAATAGATCGAATTGATTTTGACTTTTCATATTTAAAGTAATAATGTATTGAAAGTTCGTTAAATAAACACATGGTTTAATTCATCAACCAAACATCAACTAACATCGCACAGATCGATTTGAGATACTTTTGTCAAATTGCTGAAATAGCTGAATTTCCTTGTATCATTGTTTGACAACATTATGGCAATTATTTCCAAACAAATTTTATTTTAGGAAACATTTGTGAACCTGTGAATAGGATTGATCTTGTTTAGATTGCTATGCAAGCTTGTAAAGGAATTTGCCCACGTTTATTTCGATTCGTTCTTTAATCGTTCGCGTTTTTAGCGTAAGAGGAACACGGATCCAATTAAAGATTTGTGTTGCGTAAGTCCATGTCAATTTATAAATATCTTAACTTAATTTTACTAGAGCTCTGATAATTGTTTCTGGCAATTTCTGAGACCTATTGATGTTACTCCTTCATATAAAAATCTGGGATCATCCATGCCACGTTTGACGTAATGGTAAGCGCATACAGGGAACCTGTCAGAAAGTAGTTAATATGAGTTATTACATAAATAAAACGAACAGTCAAACATGAACAATGGAAAACTAATAAACAAAAAGTAAACAACACATTGTTCTGCTTGGTTTACTTTCCGCTATTCCGCGAAGGCTCATTAATTATATAATATAAATGTCACACTTGACCATATTGTTCTATATAATTTTCACGTAGCAAGTATGCCCAAACGTCACACTTGACATGTCACGTTCCTCAATTCAGGATGTTATCCAAGATGTGAAAATATGAAATGCCACACAAATGGCATACAACTGTGTTCAAATGGCACACATTGTGTACAAGAGCACTCATTCTTGAAAAGTCACTCAAAAATCAATCCTAGCTCATGGTGGTAGGCTAAATTAAACGAGTTTACAATGATAATGAGTATCACTGCAGGATACGTTCAATAAGATATTGTCATTTTCTACGGAAACTACAGACAGGCAACAAAAACTGAAACATTTTCAGTAAGATGCAGTGAAGAATACTAAAGATACGATCTCGTTGCATTTAAGGCAGGATCAGGGATACAGGGGATACAGACAACATGTTAACTTGGTATTCCAATTTGTGCTTTACTATCTCTAATTTATTACCTCGAAAGGATCTGTGATGTCTGATCAATGGTATATTAGTATTAGTTTAAAAATTAGTAAAAATGTGAGGGATATCACTTTTATCCACAAGTGGATATCCCCCATCTCCCCTAGTGAGGACAGAGAGAGAGAGAGAGAGAGAGAGAGTGGATAAAAATTATAGCAAGAGAAAGTCATAGGATATCCTATCAATCCCTTGAATTTCAAAATATGCGTTCTAAAAAGCCATTGTAGAACTTCACAATAAAATCAATAAAAACTAGACGTTCAAAAAACTCAAATATTTTCTCAGACTAGACAGACATTGAGATGCATATCAATCGGATGCGACTTTTGAAGCGTACGAAATTTATCTTGCCACTTAACCCAATATATCCCTTTAAATATAAAGACCAATACCAATTGATAACATATTGTTGATATTTTGGGAGATATTATATTTGAGATTGTAAGGAGTATATTGGTAGGTAATTGTTCATGTTGCTTACAATTTTGTCACTCCCCGTGGATCTGGTTGTTCCTGAAAGGCCTAAATTTATGTTAAGTAGAAACCCAGGGTGTTTTAATTATAGAGCCAGTTAACATACCCATTAAGAGCTGGCCAATCAGCTGGCAGTAGAAGTTGCTTTTGTTTACTTGAACCCTTCTTGACCCGAAATCTGATCTTTGACCTTAGCTTTGGATGATGCTATTGGTTAGATTCAAATTTTGAACTTTTCTACTGAACATAATTAAGTAGCATTTAAAAAACTTTCACTTGTTCTTATTCAAAATTAGAATAATATTTTACAAAACTGAGTACATTTTTGTTGTCTCCAAATGTTCATACATGACCACAACAAGTTTCAAAACAAACAAAAGCCAATTTATTGAGAAACACTAAAAATTAAATTAAAATTTACTGGTTTAAGTATACTGGTAAGTATTCAAACAGACATATTTGGCTGTTCCAAGCAACACCCTCTCCTTTTATACTGGACTTTGGTCTTTAAAGGAAAAAGAAAAGATAAAGAATGCGTTTTACTCCCTATAGCTAAAATCTCCTGCTCATTATCTTAAAAATTAAACGGTTTATATCTTGCGATTGTATGCCTGGTAAAACATTGTTAAGTCCACTTTTTTATTCTACTGAATTTGGAGATTTTTGCATCCGGGATGTCCAATAACATTATTTTCAGGAAATGAATTCTGAATTACAAAGGAAGCCTTGGCATGCTTTTTAATAGATTTCTCACTTTACACTCCATATCTCGCCAGATTCCTTTAAATGTGTCATGTGTTTTCTAGGAAGAACATGTGTACATCAATAGTAACACATCGTGTATCATGTATAAAAACATTCTAATGTACTTAAGTGAACCTTCACTGTAAGCTTATACTAAGGAATACTGATCGACCCAAAGTATTAAAGATATTTTATTCATACATGGATATCAATAAGTTTGTTTGAATGAGATTTAATTAATATCTTTCAAAGAGTCGCTTCTGTCGCTCCTGAAATACTTATCACTTTTCATTTATATCATAAATAGTATCAAGATATCGTGCTCAATAAAAATTGGGTAGGATGTATGGTAGCATCCTCTTAAACTATGTCGTACCAAAAATAGTATCGAATAATTTAATTTTTATATTTATAAACTCTGTATGATTAAAAATGGATAGATTATCAATTTTACATTGACTTCGCCCTATGTGGTGCCCCTTAACCAATAGTTGACTGGGGCTACTGATGCAAAGGGTGTTTCTTTCAGATCAAATATCAATATACATAACACTGGGATAAGAATACACATAGGACGGTTATTTTAGATGTTTAAGGGGCAGCATTAATCGTACAATATATATTAAAGGTTAATCGCTGGTCTGTAAATATTTTAATTTCTTGATCTAAGAGATGGACGCGATAATAGTTTGTTTGGCGTTTGAAAGGTTATGGTCGCACTACAATTATACATATTAAAGTAGATTTAGAGAAAATGTCACTGCAATGTCAGTACCAAGACGGAAACACATCATTTATGTGTCACTTTGTCTTAAATTTGGCAACTTAGCATATTTTGTAAATATTCTAGTTAGATAAATGAATACAATTCCCGTCTGTAGAAGTCACAATCCTTAGTCAGTAAACTTTTACCAAGTGCGTGATTGTTAATTCTTTGGTTTCTGCACAAAAAAACTACGCATCTACATCCCCTTAATTTGTTATCAAAATCGATTAAAATACGCTTTTTAAAAACTCAGGCTTGATACATTTTGATAAAAAGGAGATGGTAATATACTAAGATACGCTATTTAAACAAATCAGGCTTGATACATAAGAAAAATAAAAGAGGAGATGGATAATATACAAACCTTTAATCAACACGAGTAATAGCACTATGTAATTTCCTGTCCTCCAAGTAGTCCACATCTTTATTTGCTGATAATCGTAATATGATCAGTTAGTTTCCTAGATCATCAGAAATGTTATTATTTTTGGTAAAGTCTTTAAATCGCAACAATTTCGTTTGGAATCGAATCCAAGACCGAGCAGGTTAGTTACGGTTATTGCGTTTAATCTTCACTGTTGTTTGACTATTCGCATCGATTTGTTTGAAAGAAATATATGTATTTCAAGCAAAAGATACAACTCTTGAGGATCTAGTTTTACTTGAGTAAGTGCGATTTTAAATATTTCCTTCAGATTCTTTAATGTTTATTCCGTTCATTGAGGCATTTGACCGTTAACTTCCGCATTAATCCCATTTATATCTCAGTTTACATATCGTGCATTAGCAAAATATACCATTACTGAAACATCATTTGCAGCCTTCCAGTTATAATACACCTCTAACCATAATGCATATATTGCTCACTCAAATCGGAACAAGATGTATTCAAAGCGCGTGCGCAGAAAGATAAGAATCATGGGACACCCGTGCCTCCTTCAAGACATTCCATGTGCATATTGCATGCTTTTACGAAAGAAAAGATGCAGATGGTATGATATAATGTACACATTTACATAGCCTCTCGAACTATTCACGGGAACTTATCAATTACAGCTTCAAGAAACTCTGCAAAAGCATTTGTTCTTGACGAAACATTTCATTTATGTATATATATATGCCAGAGAATGTAACCCCGGGGGTTATCATATACATGCGTATATGATAACAGTGATACGGATTAAACGTGACACACAAACGATAAAAATAATATTTAAACTCCATATGATTTCAATTAGTAAATATATCTGACACTATTTGCATAATGCACACCAGACCAATTAGTTTAAAATTCAATTCCAGATTCTTTTGTAATTTGATTCACTCTATCTGGAGATCTATCGGTTACATACGCTAACTCGATTTTATATAATTAACATGTCTTGTAAAGCAATTGCAACTCGTCATTGATTTTTAAATTCAAATGACTATATGGTATCTTGGAAATAGCCATGTCTTCCTGTATCTTATAAAAAATCAAGTTGTCTAGGATACGGGTAAAGATGCATCTATCACCAAATAATGTAACTTAAGGAAGTGATTCGTTTGCTCCATCTTAACTTTTAATTCAACGTCCCCCTTTGCGATTTAAAATGATAATCTTTGAAAGGTGGTAGGTTACGGTGAAAATGGTAGTCTTAAGACAACACGTTTACTATCGAAAAACAAAATTGCGCTTTAAACAAGAAGATTGCAAAAAAATTCACATAATCCTACTTTAAGAGGTTAGACAAGGACTAAGGCAAGACTAACGATGCTATGACGGCTAATGGTAATATAATCTATAGAGTTCGGGACAATGCTTTTCGAATATTGCTGACACGTTTCAACGAGTAAGTGCCTCTTTTTGGTTTATGGCGGTATCTGTAGGCCCTACAGGAATTTACAGAAAGGCGGTAATTTTCGTAGCAATACGATAACGAGTTATGCTCGCGTCGGGAACAAATTTTATTAGTCTATCGCATTATTGTGATGAAATTACCTTCTATTCTATCATTTGATTTATAAAACTGTTTTTTCTAAAACTTGTTTGCGCTTAAAATAACAAACGAGAATTTAAGGAATGGTACTTGATATTTTGATAGTGTTTTGTATTCCAAAGCATGCGATCAATGAATGTTTTATCAACACGTTCAATCACTGGAATGACCCCATTTTGACCATGAAATGACACTAATATTGGCAATTATTTTAAAAGATTACCTTTTTAGTCATTAGTCTTAAAGGTTGCCCATGAATATGTGTCGTAAAGGAAGTTCAAGACCACTTTAGGGCATGATACTCGAACGAGGCATAAGAATAACATTCTTTTCCCCTTTGTAAAATATAATAGCAATTTTAATTTGTTTCTAATATTTCAATTCTGACGCGTGTTCTTCATTTAGAATGTTTACGTTGCCCGGTGAAATACAGAATACAAGTGTGCTGTAAGGCGCATTCGAACATGACTGTATTCACGCCTTCTATAAACTGTAAACAAAGTCAACGTTTCACCCGGGGTATATTCGCGAAGAATACCCCTGGTAATACGTGTAATTGACGTCATAACGGCGGGTCGTAGTAATGGCGGACCATAATGAATATTCGAAACATTTTGATGAGTTTTCATGTTCGAATCGTAATATAGACCTCAGAACATGGGTAATATCGTCGAATACACCCCTTAGGGCTAGGCACAAAAGCTTTCGAAAATACAGAAATCGTTTTTTGTGCCTAGTCCTGGGGGGTGTATTCGACAATATTACCCCTGCTCTTCGGTCTATATTTCTTGATTATGCTCCAACTGGTGTTTTTGAACGAATGCCACATGGCTTAAGGATTTCGAAAGTGAGCTTAGATGAAATACCCAAAGGTTCTGATGCACCGTTGGAAAGTTTGTAGTGTCAGCCTCTAGTTTTGATCAGATTATATGCGGGTACAACGTTTAAGGATTTACTCTTTGGTCATTAAGGGGCAATTGGGTCATTTTCAATTTCCTGACAAATCATTATGTGAATTCTTAAAAATCACTAAAATTAAATTATATGAATACCCCATAGTATTTCATACCAGTGCCCTTGAACTAGTACTGGTATGAAGTATACCCAATCATCAAATGTCAAATAAAAAGCACTTTCATCTCCATGGAAACATAGAAATATGGTATCTCTGACAGTGTTCTTATAGATTCCATACACTCAAGAACAAAAACGATCCGTGTAAAAGGTCACACACTTGTTGTATTCTGAATTATTGAAACACGAAACTGAATAGTTGGTATCTGAATTAGAGTGTGGAATGTAGTATTCGACATGTGCATGATGCCATCTATTCGTCCCAACTTTATTTATTCGACAATAAGAAGAATTTTTCTTTATAAAGAACAAGTCTCGGTTTGGAGAACAGTCTCCAGAGCTAGTAATTTTTTTAATGAAAAATATAGAAACACTACCCAATTTAAATTATAAATATTCAAAAGAGGACATTTGAATCTACAAGATGCAAAAATATCAAAATTGTCCAAAGCAGGCGTAACATGCAATAGACCGATTCAATAAAAGACAAGTCTCGATTTGGAGAAAGAAGTCCATCGGTGTACTGCGCTTATATTTTTTTTGAAAAATATAGAATATATCACCCAAAGTATATTAAGGATATTCAAAAGAGAACATTTAAATCTACAATATGTAAAAGTATCAACATTGTCCAAAGCAGGCGTAACGTGCAGTAGACTGCTAAACTTCGTTCTCCAAACCGAGACTAGTCTTTACACAAAAACCAAATAAAGATATATAGAGATTATCCTATATGAGGTTCAGGATATTGGGATTATCCCGAGGCCAATATAATATATGTATGTATTTATTTATTTATAAATAAATAAATACATACATACATATAATATATCTGCCCGAGGGTAGATATATTATATTGGCCAAGGGATAATCCAAATATCCTGAACCGACTATAGGATGATCTGTTTATCCCATACCAATCACATTGTTCAATTGGCCAAAGTTCAGAAACTTTGCAACCAACCGTGGAATTATTTTAAGAAATTAATGTCCAGTTTTGTGTTCTTGTCCGTAGCCGGATTTTCCTGTTCAAATCGTTGATTATTAACGGGGCATACTGCTCCTTCCCTTCTTTAAAGCATCAAACAGATCGCAATTGTCTGCGTTTTTCTCCATTGTCGTTTACAGTATGCGAACGTTACAAAATAGAATCAATACGGGAACAGTGATTGTGACGTAGCGGGCAGATATACTATATCTGCCCGCTTGGAGCGGGACGTAAATAGAGATTATCCTATATGAGGTTCAGGATATTGGGATTATCCCGAGGCCAATATAATATATCTGCCCGAGGGCCGTAGGTCCCGAGGGTAGATATATTATATTGGCCAAGGGATAATCCCAATATCCTGAACCAACTATAGGATGATCTGTTTATCCCATACCAATCACATTGTTCAATTAGCCAAAGTTCAGAAACTTTGCAACCAACTGTGGAATTATTTTGAAATATTCATGTCCAGTTTTGTATTCATGTCCGCAGCCGGATTTTCCTGTTCAAATCTTTAATTATTAACGGGGCATAGGCTACTGCTCCTTCCCTTCTTTAAAGCATCAAACAGATCGCGATTGTCTGCGTTTTTCTCCATTGTCGTTTACAGTATGCGAACGTTACAAAAAAGAACCAATACGGAAACAGCGATTATGACGTAGCGGGCAGATATACTATATCTGCCCGCTTGGAGCGGGACGTAAAGCTATATCTGCCCGCTGATGAAAATATAAGTTTTTACAAACCGGCTTTATGTACCCGTAACACGTCCAAGTATGGGATAAAGCTATTTATCCCATACTTGGAGGTGTTACGGGTACATAAAGGCAGTTTGTAAAAACTTATATTTTCATCAGCGGGCAGATATAGCTTTACGTCCCGCTCCGAGCGGGCAGATATAGTATATCTGCCCGCTACGTCACAATCGCCGCTCGCATATTTGTTCATAATTTGTAACGTTCGCGTAATGACTGTAAACGACAATGGAAAAAACACAGACAATCTGGATCTGTTTGATGGTTTAAAAAAGGGAAGGAGCATCCACTTAATCAATCAAAAATTCGAAAAAATAAATGTAGAAATATTTGAGAGAACAGGAAAATCCGCCCACGGCCAAGAAAACAAAACTGGACGTGAATATTCTAAAATATTTCCACAATTAAAAAATGTCAACCAGATGACCACGATTGGTATGGGATAAACATATTATCCTATAGTCGGTTCAGGATATTGGGATTATCCCTCGGTCAATACAATATATTTTCCCTCGGGACCTGCGGCCCTCGGGCAAATATATTATATTTGCCTCGGGATAATCCCAATATCCTGAACCTCATATAGGATAATCTCTATGTATCTCATACTTGAGTTGGTTTGGGGTAGATATCACCCGGGAATATATATCGTATCCGAGGAGCGGGCAGGATATATTGTATATGTCCCGCTCCGGGCCAAATGTGGGCAGATATAATATATCCATCCCGCTCCCGGGAATTTTTCAAAAGTTAAAAAAAATTTTAAAAATTTTAAATTTAAAGTTTTAAATTTTAAATGTTACAATTTCATTGTATTGAACTAAAGATACGAAAATGTTAAATATAAATTCTGCTTTTACATTAAATAAGCCTAATTTGTTTTGAAAAAGGTAGAACCCAAAACCTACTCAAGTATGAGATACACCAGTTATGTACGGTCGGTTTTGGAAATAGGGTATATCCCTCGGGAAATATTTATATCTCCCCTTTGTCCCTTCGGTCCCTCGGGGAGATATAAATATATCCCTCAGGATATACCCTATATCCAAAACCTCCCAGTACATAACCCTTATTTATCCCATACTTGGACGTGTTACAGGTACATAAAGCCGGTTTGTAAAATCTTATATTTTCATCAGCGGGCAGATATAGCTTTACGTCCCGCTTCGAGCGGGCAGATATAGTATATCTGCCCGCTACGTTATAATCGCCGCTCGCATATTTGTTCATAATTTGTAACGTTCGCGTAATGACTGTAAACGACAATGGAGAAAACACAGACTATCGGGATCTGTTTGATGGTTTAAAAAAGGGAAGGAGCATCCACTTAATCAATTCGAGAAAATAAATGTGGGAATATTTGAGAGAACAGGAAAATCCGCCCACGGCCAAAAAAAACAAACTGGACATTAATATTCTAAAATATTTCCACGATTGAACAATGTGAACCAGATGACCAAGATTGGTATGGGATAAACATATTATCCTATAGTCGGTTCAGGATATTGGGATTATCCCTTGGCCAATATAATATATTTTCCCTCGGGACCTGCGGCCCTCGGGCAAATATATTATATTTGCCTCGGGATAATCCCAATATCCTGAACCTCATATAGGATAATCTCTATCTATAATATCATTGCTAGAAATTGTGTGATTTGATTGGTCGAGTCAGTACCATGTGATCAAAAATTTCATAACGTATTTCACAGCTCCCTCAATTTTAGGATAATAAAAGACGTATTGCCCGGCGTATTGCCCGCCTGGGAATTCTGACAACTACACTGGACGAAAATAAAGTGTACCATTCAATGATACTTGCACGTAATTATGTTCACTTATGGATTAATGATATATTAATTGATTAAAATAAATGATCATAGGGAAAGTCTAGCAATGATATAATAAAACAAATATTTCATTCTATGTTCGGGCAATACCTGTTGCACTTTCAATGATTTTTGCATCATGTATTTCCCTCGCCCTACGGGCTGCGGGCAATACATACCGCAAAAATCATTGAAAGATGAACAGGTATTGCCCTCCATAGAATGAAATATTTGCTTAGTATTTCATACCTGAGGTTCTAGGTACATAACGAGCGGGAATATATACTGTATATAGCCAAGGCCCGGGGTGGGATGGATACACGCTGTATCCATCCCGGTCCCGCTCCAGAAATTTTTTTTCACAATTTTTTCAAAAAAATTTTTCACATTCTTTTTCCAAATTTTTTTTTCACATTTTTTTCAATTTTTTTTCAAATTTTATTTTTCAAAATATGAGTTATATGAGTTTGAAAATCTCAGAAACTTAAAAAAACACTTTATAACACCAAGAAAATGCGTATCTTAAGTATATTTTTTAATTTTGGAACTTTATAAGGTATACATGTATGACGTACCTAGAACATCAGTAGGTATGAAATACATCTGTTATGTACCGTCGGTTTTGGATACAGGGTTTATCCCTCGAGAAATATGTGTATATCCCTCGGTCCCTGCGGTCCCTTGGGATAAAACCTGTATCCAAAACCTCCCAGTACATAACCCTTATATCTGCCCGCTGATGAAAATATAAGTTTTTACAAACCGGCTTTATGTTATGGTTGGCCTATTAGTATAAAGAATGCATGCGTTGTTTTCGGGTGTGTAGGCGTTAATTACGCTCGTGTAGATGTAAAATTACGCCCGTGTTGACGAAAAATTACGCCTGTGTAGGCGTAAATTACGCCCGTGAAGAAGTAAATTCTACGGGCGTTCAGAATACATTTACAGGCGTGAACTTACGGCGTTAAAATTATTAATTACGGGCGTTAAGACTGTTATTTTACACGCGCTGAGAAACATCTTTACGCCCGTCGAGTTCATTTTTAGCGCCGTAAATTATGAACCAATCAGAACCTTACTTACATGATGATTTAATGCATCCTTGCTAAAAGAGCAACTCCGAGATACTTGCGCTAGTAAACAACAATCAGAAGCCTGCTTACATTTTAGTGTGTTGCATTGAGGTCCTTAAATATTCGTTAAAGATTGAACTAGATAATTCTCCAATCTAGGCGTCGGCTTCAGAGGTAGGCTAGGTAGGGACTTATTAAGCTCACACGCATTGCAGCTTACAGTCTCATTATACAGTCAGATCGCTAATGTATCCCTCTAAAGGATGTGTCCAGATACTAGAATTATAGTATCTGATCAACTGCAAATTGACTCTAGACTATATCCTGCAGATCTGGCATTTTTTGAAAATGTACTGAAAATGTCAAATGAGCCTATACCTAGTATACCTAGCCAACATATGTTCAAATTTGGTGTTAGGGAGATGTGTACTTTTTGGAATCTTAATGCAGCCGTCTTTATATGTCACATATTATTTCCAGGAATACATAACTCATTTAATATATGATGTAAATCTTTCACATTTGCACAAATAGTGCACCGAGATACCTAGAAAAGAAATAATATTTCATATGCCTCCAATTGCAACAGTTGTTCCTGGCACAATCATGAGTATGTTATTAACTTGCACAAGGATCTTGGAGTTGTACTTTTAGCTATAATGCATCGTATCATCATGTAAGCAAGATGCTGATTGGTTCATAATTTACGGCGCTAAAAATGAACTCGACGGGCGTGAAGATGTTTCTCAGCGCGTGTAAAATAACAGTCTTAACGCCCGTAATTAATAATTTTAACGCCGTAAGTTCACGCCTGTAAATGTATTCTGAACGCCCGTAGAATTTACTTCTTCACGGGCGTAATTTACGCCTACACAGGCGTAATTTTTCGTCAGCACGGGCGTAATTTTACATCTACACGAGCGTAATTAATGCCTAAACACCCGTAAACAACGCATGCATTCTTTATACTAATAGGCCAACCATACTATGTACCCGTAACACGTCCAAGTATGGGATAAAAATATTTATACGAGTGAGTAGTAATAAGTCTTACATGTACCGACTGTACACGGTATACGTTTTGAACAGTACCATAAGTTATTGAATGATTTGAAGTGCAATACAGGATATATTCTGCTCGAGAAATTCTGTGTTGGAACGAGACGAAGTTAGAGCAGAATATATCTAAATAATCCTGTATTGCACTTCAAATCATTCTATAACGTTTTGATCGTGTGATCCTCTGTATTGCTACTGAGAATGTCCCCTCCGTACCAATATTTCCTGTATTGCGACGGAGATGATCAATGGGGACGATCTCACTAGCAATACAGATTGGTACAGCACAAGTACTGACCAATCAGAAGGCTTCATTTTACAGATCATACGATAAAGCATTTTATTGGATTGGAGCGGCTTCTTAAGTACCCGTGTGTGACTTAAATAGTTGTTGGTACCATAGCTAGTACCGATGCATGGAAATAAAAATGGTTAAATCACATCATCTGATTCTGTTTAAAGGAATATTCTTTGCCAGACCCTTTCTCTCTTGATATGGTAGCTATAATCATATTATAGTTTCCATATTTAGCAAAACATGGGAAAATGTTTTAATATGGTCAATATTGATCATTTAAAAATCTAGTGCTTATTTCCAGTGAGCTGCCATCTTTTAAGATTTCTTGCAGGAAGTGATGTCATCAACTCTCAACTTCTATAACCTTGCCCATAACAGTATAGGAAAGTAGCACAAAATCACTTCTAGACAAGTGATCATTTCTTTCTGTGCAAAAATATTTTCAGGGCTTGTCAACTTAGAATAAAAGAAGAGATTTTCAGAAAGATTAAATAAGATACAAAGTTGAAAAAGAATATTCAGCTGGTTTTGTAATTCTTAATAGCTTCTCACCTTATGCTATATGCAAAGTTGAGAGTCGATGACATTACTTCCAGTGTGAAATTTTAAAAGATGGCAGCTTACTGGAATTGAGCATCACATTTCTAAGTGATCAAATTTGACCATATCAAAACATTTTTGCGTGTTTTGCTAAACATGGCAAGCATATATATGGTTATAGCTACCATATGAGGAGAGAGATGGTTTGGCAAGGAATATTCCTTTAAGTGAACATTAAAAATTAAAATGATATCTCCAAGAATACTTCTTGCAACTCCCTTTACCTCAAACAATTCATCGTGAGATATCATGTCCTTCTATCAGTTCCTTAAAACAAAGAGATGTGATGAGTATCAGATTGCGAAATACGCGATATATATGAACGAAGAAAACTTATCGACACCGATTATTGATCGACATGTGCATTAACTGATCACCCGCATGAATTTTAGCGCATTATGAAATGAAATTATGATTAAATAATTCAAATTATATAATATCAATTAAATTTTATTGGCATGATGATAACATCAGTTTTGTGGGTATATCAACTTCAATTAATAAATCTGATCAAACATTATTTAACAATGTAATTACGTTTGGACTCTTTATACACCTGTAAACAGGCCAACCTTATTGATAGAATATTCGCCATTTGCCTAGCAGGTCTATTGAGGACTTGGTAATTCAGTTGCGCATGCGCCGTGCCATCATAAAACATGCCCAGGGTGTTCAATGCGCGTGGACTGATTGTCATCTGTACTTTTAAATATTAGTGCTGTAATTACTTTTTGTTATATTGTTTAATTAATTAGTTCAGATTAATTTTTATTTGGAAACATATTTAACCAACTTGTTATTGGAAGGAAAGGAAAGCACATTCCATATAGGATTCTATATAGGACGGATACATCATGCACCAGGCAGGAGAGGGGTAAATTAAAAATTCTACTTTTTCTTTTATTATTTGAAAAATTCAAAGTTGAGCAATTTGGAATATTCTTTGATTTATTTGCGTATGATGATCATTCATGATTCAATCACTCTCCGAATCAATCCTAGTTGAATAGTTCAATCCTTCGTATTAAATGATACCATTTGGTATTGTGTTACTATTTTTGTCAGTTAAACACAACCATGGTAAATGTGTCTATCTTATATGAAGGAATTATTATAACCACATGCATGCTCTTCGTTTTTCATGCGAGGGAGTGTTTGATAAGTCTGAAAACAAATACTTTGAAACAGAGTATGAAAGAAAGAATCTTTAATTTGCAGATTGGCCGTCTTTGTCATCTTGATATTGGCCCCATCTATAATACAAGCACAAGGTTAGTCAAATGAATAATCTTTATTTTATTTTGTCTCTTCAATACGGTGAACCAAATTGTCTGAACCGAAGATGAGAGAGTCAAAAAGAAAAAACTGATGTTCACCTTTCAGGCAAAATATGTATATAACATGGATTTAGTACAAGTATTTGATTCTAACATTTATAAATACATAGATTTGATCTTATATACATTTATTTTTTAGTATGTACTGGACCCGACGGTTTATATCCAGTGGCTAGCAATTGCCAGATGTTTCTTCATTGTGCTGGGGGTATGGGATTCATTCGTCAATGTGGCCCCTACACGGCATTCAACCCAGCAATAGGATTGTGTGATCATGCGGCCAATGTAGCCTCATGCTTCCTTGCTGCTCCTGCGACTACGTCAACTGCAGCTGCGACAACGTCAACTACAGCTGCGACAACTTCAACTACAGCTGCGACTACTTCAACAGCTGCGACAACTACAACAGGGGCTCTCCCTACGCCGGTTCCAGTATCCTCCAGAAAAGTTGATTTTTGTGAGTAAACAACGCTCAGAAAATGCCATCTATTTTAAACTCGGTACTTACATAAAATCACATAGATGTGTATTCCTCGTTTTCTAATCGTAGATAATTTTTTCAGTTTGCTCAAAAGACGGCAAGTTCGCATCTACGGATTGTACTCAGTTCATAGAGTGTGTCAATGGTAACATCATAGTGGGAAGCTGTCCTATAGATCAGGTCTTCAACGAAAAGACGTCGTTATGTGATAGCGTCGCTAACGTGCCCAGGTGTTCATTTACCATCAATATTACCGATGTAAATGAGTTTCTTCCGATGGCCGAGGACATGTCTCGAAAAGCATTGGACGACAGGACCAAGAAGGAGGCAGATGCATCAAAACAAAATGCTGGCAAAGGTAAAATCAAGTTTAAAATGTATATACTCTCAACTTTCCGTACTTTTAGTTATAAATATTTGAATTGATTAGGACATTTTAATTAAAGTGTAAAAAACTATGGACCCTCTGAATAATAGCCTACACGTTATCCCTCTGACCAAGCCAAAGAGCGCAACATGCGATATCAATCTTGGAATATAACTCAGTCGTAGTCATCAACGGTTACGTCAGTTTGGATATACAGTGAGGTCGCTTAGCATTTATTTCGACCACCTCCAAGGGTTTGAAAACGTTATGCTCATGTTTCATGTTTACACATGTTTAATCGTTACAGGAAAGGATCGACCATTTAAAGGCGTCCAAGACTTCCTTAATGCTGATAACTACGTCAGGAGGCTCTCTGAGTCACAGAAGCTTCAAGAAGAAGTACTGGAAAGAATCATGGACAAGTATGTACTTTAAAAGCATCATCGAAACATTTAAAAACTACTTCATTCTAATAAATTAAAAAATCTAAATAATGGATTGGATATGTTGAAAATTTCTATTAATTTTAGAAATACAAATAATTTTATAAATATCGACTATCGCTTCAACCATGGGCGTCAAAGAGGAAACCCATGATGTTCATTATTTTGAATGACTACGTTAATAGGTTCAGCTACACAAAGACACAAATCCAAGAGGTTTTCCGTACTGTCACTGGACCTCTGCTTAGAGCTCAACCAGAGCCACCAAGACGCCAAGATGGTGGCAGGCGACCACCTATGAGAGAAAGTTGTCCCTATCAACAGACATTGTGCAACAGCAGTGACACCTATCGTTCCCTAGACGGGACCTGTAATAATTTGAACCATGGTCTTTGGGGCTCAGCATTCACGCCATTCACTCGTCTGTTGTTGCCTGATTATGCTGACGGTATGTCTCTTACAAAATGGATGAAATATTTAATACATAGCAGAAGGTAGATCGACATGTGGAGAAGTGTATTCCCTCGATCCATACTTGAGTCATAAGGTCAATCACACAAAAGAGTATTTGCAACAAACCTGTATTTCATAATTACGTCAGATAGTTGTCTCAGAAACCATACGACTCGGTGATTTGTGAGTTACACTTCTGAGATACAAAACTAGTCACTTACATTGGTTATTCGCCATTTTGTTTTAGGATACAACAAATCACGTGTGGCAGTTGACGGTACTGAGCTGCCTTCGGCAAGGTTGGTGAGCAGTACTGTCTTTGAAGATGTAGAAGTAAGCGACCATGTCCAATCCTTGGCTCTTATGGTTTTTGGACAATTCCTTGATCACGATGTTACAAGAACGGCTGTCTCTAGTCTCTTCTCAGATGTAGATAGTAAGTCTGCTACCCAAAATCGTAATCACTTCGTCAAGACAAATATAGTTACATTGAGCATGATTCTATGCCTTATGCTTTCCAAATTTTTTTTAATTTTTTTTTTATTTATTTTTTTATTTCAGAGAAGAAAAAACATGTTAAAGTAATTGCAAAAAAACAATTACAATACAGTTACATGGTAAACGTACATTTTACAATACAGTATTGGTTAAACCAAAAATTGAACATGCACACATATTTAATCCTTAGTGATGACTGAAGTGTCCAACGTGCTATGCGGAGATGATGGTTGCTCTACAGGAAAGAACGATTTGGCTTCTTGTCTTCCCATTAGTATTCAAAGTGGTGACCCTGACTATGGTAGCCAGAAATGTTTAGAGTTTGTACGTAGTGAAGGCGTGCCACAACTCTCTTGTGCATTTGGTAAGAGAATATGACACACCGCTAAACGTATTTTGGTAATTGTAACCCTAATTGTGTTTTTAAATTCTCCGCCCTAACAAAGTGACATAACGTGTTGTTTTATCTATTGTTTGCACTGTATGATTGTTATCGCGTTTCACACAAGAAATGATATTCTTACCAGGGCCAAAAGAACAGCTGAACCAGATAACTGCGTTTATCGACTCATCTAATGTTTACGGAAGCTCGTTGAGTGATGCGGCCGCACTCCGCGAAAATAGCACAGGGCGCCTTGCCATGACAGTCCATCCTTACCAATCAACACTGAAGAAGCTCCTGCCCAGAAAGCCGGAAGCGACTTTCAATGAGAGCTGCACCGGATCCAACACAACTGTCAGGTGCTTCGAGGCAGGTGATGGTCGAGTCAACGAACAAGTGACTCTAGCTTCTTTCCACACAATATTCGCCCGTGAGCACAACCGCATTGCCAATACGCTGTCTTCTATGAACACAGACTGGGATGATGAGAGACTATATCAGGTACGTCAGCAATCCCTGATTCAAGAGAAACTAAAATATGTAATCTCCAAAATATTAGACTAAAGCGCGCATTACAAAACTTAAGAAGAACCAGTCATGATAATACAACCAAGGACGGTGGAACAATGAAACCCACCATACCCCAAATTATGATTGATGAACGCCCAAATGAACATTGATAAGTCGCCATACCCCAAATTATGATTGATGAACGCTCAAATGAACATTTATAAGTCAACGTTTGAGAAGGCGGATAGGAAGCGGATATCACTACCAGAAGATCAAAATAGATAAATATTTAAGTATTGACAAAGCAAGTTCATGTCTAATAGTACAGACAATCACAAACATGTTTTTCCAATATTTCAGGAGGCGAGGAAGATCGTCAATGGTATGTGGCAACATATCATCTACAAAGAGTACATTCCCCTGATTCTAGGACCAACAGAGATAGTCAAATACGGAGTGAAACTCTTGGAGAGCGGGTTCTACACAGGTACTTAGATCGACCCACTAAACAATAGATTCTCAGATTAGAAATATTAAAATTAAGTCTTATGATCATGCAAAGTGTTCTACATAATGACAACAAGTAAAGTTATTGCACTCTGATTTTCAAATATAGGTATCGAAGCATGTACGCTGAAAATCAGAAAAGCCCAAAACTTTGTGAGCCAATGCGTAATTACGTAAAATGATTTAACGTATCGTATCGTATCGGTGCTATCTTGTAGGTTATGACAGCAGCATTAATGCTCAGATGTTTAACTCATTCTCAACTGCCGCATTCCGGTTCGGTCACAGTCAGATTGGTGACGAGATCTTCCGTTCTACATCATCTTTTGGTGACATCGACGAACCATTTCTTAGCACGGTAAGGCTCCATCTTCAATTTTCACTGTATTCAACCTGATGTTTGAACCACTGAATCAAGCCAGGAAATTCCACTCCCACAACAGTGATCAATACTCACCTCTAGCAAAATTTTAGCGGGTAAAACTGGTCTAATTAAACACCCTGAAACCACCGGCGCCCCCCCCCCCAAGTATGGGACCAAAAAGGATTTGAGCCCGCCCAAACAATTTGTAGGGCCTCAATTAGTGGGCATTTCTTGGAATTTTGTGACAAGAATTAATTCATGTGATTTTTATTTCGAACATTGTTTCTATATTTTTCTTGCATATTCTTGTCATAGGCCTTCTCAAACCCACACCTGATATACGATGTGAACGGTGGTGGTGTGGACTCCTTGGTGAGGGGCCTTGTGAACAATCCCGGCTACAATACTGATCGCTTTTTCTCAAAGCAAATCACCAAGAGTTTATTTACACCTTCACCTCCAATGGGCATTGGGACTGATCTTGTTTCACTCAACATCCAAAGAGGGCGAGACCATGGACTTCCCGGTAAGTTTATATGTAGAGTGTCGGTTTGTGGCTACTAAGTACATTCACGATTATCAAGGACAATCATCTAAGTACTTGAGAAAAATAAAGCATGCAATTTTAAGAATCCAATGGTACGCTATTCAACAAACAAGAAATATCGTTTTCTATTTTTGACCTTTGTGACCCACTATGAAAGAAACCTTTCGATCATTATTGGTCAGACAGAATAAAAGAAATAACAGAACATCTGCAGATACGTACATATTAGATAAGATAATAGTGCTACCAGCGTCCGCATTCATGCCGTGGAATATCTCTATTTCATGTATTTATTTTTATCACATCATTTCACGACATGCGCACGTGTGAGTATGATGGATTATCGTATGGGGTGTTCCTTTAATTACTGCAACTATTTTTGGCCATGAAATAATGTTTATATCTTATTCTATTTCTGCATTTATCAATTAGGTTACAACGAGTACCGTAGCATTTGTGGACTGAAGAAAGCCACAAGTTTCAACGATCTTGCCACTGATATACCTAGTCAGGATACTCGGAATAAACTAGAGACTTTATATGGGTATGTCAAGGTCAATCATTTGCCTTGTATCGGTATGTCATGGTCAATCATATGCTATCAATCAAAATAATGAAAATTCCTTCATTTCAAGTGATAAGTTTCTCAGATGATTTCAGATATCCGGATGTTTCCGCTATATTTGGATGAAAAATATAAAAAGGAGCGAGATAGTTGGTTCTATACATTTGGTAAATAAATGTTCCTTAAATAGTCAAATTGACACACTCAAATCATTGAGAATCTCAATAAATCATGTTTATTGTGATTCATTGTGTTTTGGTTGAGTCTTCAACGCAACGTTTTATGTCACAATCAAGAAGTAGTGACGAAGCTATAACCACTTCATCTTTTCATGACCGGTAATTGCAAAAGGTGTGAATCTATGACTTTCCAGCAATGTTGACAATATAGATATCTTCGCTGGAGGAGTTATTGAAAAGAACGTTGTCGGAGGTTCTGTTGGACCAACATTCGCATGTATCCTTGGGGTACAATTCAAGAATGCCAGGAGGGGCGACAGGTTTTGGTACGAGAACAACATTCCCCAAGGATTTACAGCAGGTAATTGGTATTTAGAATTAATACATCACTACTAGCTTTTCTTTCATTCGTCTTTGGTTTGAATTCAGTGATTTACCGACTATAACTCTCCACGGGCTTTAGTTAAGGGGTCCTTATTTTTATCCATGGGCTATGGAAGAGTTGTTACCTCAACAACCCCAACAGTGGCATTCTCACCACAGCTGATTGTGAGTCCCTTAAGTTATCAGAAGCCTCACCGTAAGACCTCCTGATTATGTTTTTGTCGTTCTTGAAATTGTAGATCAACTGACAGAGATCCGTAAAGCAAGTCTCGCCCGTATCATGTGTGACAACAGTGACACCACTACAACCATCCAACCACTCGTAATGTTGCTACCAAGGAGTAAAGCGAATACAACGTAAGTGAAATCGACCATACAATTGTTTTTATATTTACTCAGATATTCAGCAATCCCAAAAGAATTCCAGATTCTCCGGTTGGTGCATTTCTCGATTTTGATTTTTCGATCTCAATAAGTGAGGTATCGTCTGTACTAGGCCATCATTTTTAGGTCTTTAAACACAAAATAAAAAACACTGTTGAACTTGACCGCCCCATGCATGTGCTGATAATATCACTCTCTTTTCAGTGCTCCTTTCTTCGAAACCACTAACATCAATGAATTCTACGCAAGTGGTGATAACGAGAGAGTTGCATGTAGCGCCATACCATCATTAGATCTCACAAAATGGAAGGCATAGATCAACACATCGACATACAAACAGCTTCGACATGCCCAAGCTGGTGCTAACCTTGAAAACAATGGTCAGCAATGACTTACATGGTGACACGGACCTCTGCCAGTTAGCTCTTCTTGGTGGCTAGGCTCAATGAATATACTCATGTTTATTTCTTCATTGAGCCTACTACCAATAGGGCTGGGCGTGGCTCCGGATCTGTGCATGGTGACACAAAAAGACAACCCATAAATAAAACCCCATACATTTTATTCACAGTGCAAAAAATTCTAGATGCAATTTGTATAAAAAACACTTCAGTTTAAACATGTCTGAACTGGCAATTGAAACAGAATGTTGAATCAGATGAAAAAATACAGGACACTCATTTCAAAGACATACGCCATGTCTCCTAGTGCTATATCAGCCGTCGGTAGATTAAAGGAATAAACTACCTGTATCATTCGAATTCTATACTGAAAATTGAATATTGAAAAGCATGGGTGCATGCACTAACCCATATACATAATACAGCTTGAAACGTGGTCTTGCGTCAATAAGTACATAAACAATAAAGAAATACATAATATGAAATCGACATCGAATTATAAATGTATAGAATTCAAATATACAAATAAGTGTATATTACAAGCTCATCGATCATTGGTTGTAAGTTTGATTCTACTTTGTGCTTCAACAATATGCAATGTTCACAGTTTTTCTTTCATCATCTATTTCAAAAAAATTATATTCCATTCATCACTTGAATCTTATATGAACCATTCACTTCATCCATTGATAATACCACCCCCAGTTTACCATTTACATCAGCAAAATTGTTTTCTTAGAAAGGAAGTGTTTCTTTCACCTGAGAGCCCAAAGTTTATGTTATAGAAATATCCATAAGGGTTATATTATCTTACCTTATTCTCAAACCTTATTCTCTACTGTCATACTCCTTAATCTTAATATCTAACTTGTCAAACCTTATTCTCTAATATAATATCCTCACCTTATTTCAAACATTTTCTCAAACTTTAAAACTCACGCTTACCTTATTCCCAAACCTTTATCTTCAAACCTTATCTTATAACCTTATTTTTCAACATTATTTTCTTCATTTTACTCTCTTTCCCCAACACCTTTTTCTTATCTATGTTATAATCTTATTTTTATATTTAAAAAAGTTCTTAAACATATTCTCTTTCCTTATTTTAAAGCTGTATTCTCTCTAACCTTATTCCATAGCCTTATTCTCTAACCTCATTAGACCCCATTCTCCAAAAATATTCTTAAACCTTTTTATCAAACCCTTTTCCCCAAATAACTCTCATTACTTTTTCCATTCTGTATTTCATTTAAAATTACCCTGAAATTAACTGGTGATTAGACTCTGGAAACATGTCACACCTGGAGATTGAGTAAATATTCTTTAAACGTTCTCCAAATAAACACGTTACCTTGGGGATTTCAACATTTGTCGATATTTGTTGAGTTATATGTTAAGAAGTGTTGCAGAGATAGATAGCTATTGAACGATCAAGCCCAGTGCTAACAGCTGAGTAAAGAATAGGACTACATATTTTACAGTTTATGAGTTTCTAAAGTGTATCTTGCTTCAAAAACTAACCGATGCATTTAACTATAGCCTAGTTGAAAGTGCTATTATTCACTGGTCCCCACGTCACGTCTTTACGACAAAATGGATGACGTTACGTCTTTACAACTCGGTAGAAACCGTCGGATTTGGAACTGTCTTGACAAGCTAGTTCGCGTTTTTTTATTTCCAGATCATGCTTGGCTCGAGAGTTGCCATGGTCATTACCTTGACGTCATGTTAAATATTTCGTTAGGCCAAGGATATCTCAGTAGAAATTATTACTTATTTTATTTCCAGTACATGTAAACGGTCACAGAGTTTCACACTTCAAATTTACATAATCGTTATCAAATTCTCCTCATTTTTATCATATTAATCAGTTTCAACCCGGCGAAAGCAGTTATGGTGAAACAGCCGTACATGTATAGCATCTAGCAATCTATTCTATCAGGGTATCATTAACAATTACCATCAATTTAGAAACACCTGGTTTGAACATCTGTGTTAATTATCTCATCTTGTGAGATCATGTTTTGAGTTTTCTCATATTTTAGAAAATACTGAACCTTCACAGTTCACACCGTGGTAATGGTAACTGAACAACGCGTACCGCTACAGCACAAGTCGTTGTCAACAGTGTCCATAATGTAGAACAACGGTAAGCGTGATAACTACGTCGGAGGAAATCTCAAAGATGGAAAACGTCCAAATGCAGCCAAATCAAATCGAATTTTCAATCAATTGTCAATGATTGCATAGGCGTTTATTTGACGTACGAACCGTTTAGCCGACCGTGATCTATAATCATTTGCAGGATTGCGTAACTCTTCTCTAGCGTGACAACGATTATGTAGTTCAGCTGTTGATCTTTTTTCAGAATTACATCTTATTAGATTTGGCGTTATATTCACGCCTTCTAATTATGATCAGGCTTAATGCACCGATGGTTTACAATTGGCCGATAAGTTACAACGCCCCGACTTTTAGCGTTAAAATCAAGTCAACGTGACACACATAGCTTTGCCCGATTTGCTCACAGGTCTTCCGTTCTTATATTTACTTTCATAAAAGCATGTTCCAGAAATAAAGTCAAGAAAGTATATATCAGGATGTCCACATTTATTATTACGGAGAGTTTTTAGTATTTTTTCTTCGAAATTTTGCCAGTGTATATCTTCAGTATTTTAACTGTCTCGGTTGTGCTAATGCATGCTTGTTTCATAACGGTGGAGGGGGTCTGCTTACGCAGTCTTTTACGTTCGCTTTATAGCTGCAATTCAGATGTTGTTTTTCCCATTGGGTTAACCCAACTAATTGTTATAACATGCGTATTCCCATACAAACGATCTGTCTTCAAGAGAAAACTAAGATTTGTGGACATGTTTTGCTATCATTGCATCATACCCCAGTATGTCCTCTGTCAGTCAAAAAAGTTTGAATCAAAACTCCCCACGAAAATCAAAAGATCTCACCTGTTGAAGACGCCATCTATAGAAAATGTCAAAAAATGTCATTCTGATTTTGACAGATGGAGGCAGGTCAAAAAGGTCAAATTTTTTAAAGAAAATGCACCTTAATCACATCAAATCATGTCTCAGAGTTGGTCCACACATACACTTTTTCATTCATGTACTTACCAAAATCCAACCACTGGTGATGCTAATGTAATTACAATAATTGGACTATATTTTTGTTTTTATAATGCCATCTATTCGTCTTCCCACTCGGCGGAAGGATCTAATGGTTGTGTGTCTCCATTGTGTTTTTGATCTTCCCTCGTTTCCCTCTCCATTTTCTTTTTTCTCTTTGGCAACTGTACGTACGTGTTCAGTATCAGGTCATGGTTAGGCACTTACTAGATATAGTTTATGTACATACTATGTGGATACAGCATCTCTTTTCAGAATCAAAATTGAATTATTGGAAAGAGTACAGACATTTTTGACTATATGCAATCGGATGTTTGATCGGATCTTTTCTTCACCCTAGATTTATTCTTACAACCGGTATTCTACCTACTTTATAAATGTGCTGTATACATGTATATGTAGTTCATGGTATTTAGACCAGATGCAAAACAAATTGCGTAGAGTTCACCAGTCTTGCTAATTATGATTTTTTCTTCGATCATCGTTATGTTCGATCTTACTGCAATTACCGAGCGTTGCAAATTCTACGTCATTCGAATTCCAAGTTCATCAACAAGAAACGCTCGGGAATTCTGTGTAGCTTAACTTATGTATGTATGCGAACACCGATAAAATCCTCATGGTAACCGGACAACTCATCCCCTAGACATTGTAGACAACACATCCATGGACAATTCAATCCCTAGACAATTCATTCTATAGACAACTCATCCCCTGGATAACTCATGCAGTTCGGGGATTAGTTGTCTATGGGTTGAGTTGTCCGTAAACCATCTTCACTGTCAGCGTTTAGAGAGTGTAAAAAGCGTGTGATTTTCAGAAATCACTAAAAAGGTGCCACATTCTATAGATCGTATTTATGTGCTAAATAATTGCTCCAATTTTGCCCCTTGCCATGAACATGTCAGTTTCAAATCTCAAATTAGACGGTAAATTCTTAATCAACTCAGGAAGACATCGATGTTGCTAAAATTTCACCTGCCTGCTTGATACTGGATTTCAATAAACGACACCCTTATCTAGATCAAGAACACCTTTCCACGAATGATCCTAAGCTATGAGTTACCTGTTTCAATATTAATAAATACTTCATATCGATCTAAAAAATAAATTTACATTATGTTATGGTTATTAGAAGAAGTGTTGTTAATGTATTCTACAAATGTGAAAATAAAAATACAAGCGAATAATTGGCATGCTTGCGTTGTCGCTTTTGACCATTCCGAATGCAGTATAGCTATATCGTATGTGCCATAGTCTCACAACCTACAGTATGATACCATGTGCACTTTAGAGTTGAGCAGGTGCCGAGAAAATGTTAAAAGATGAGTTATGTTTGTACCGAGGAGGAACCAAAGAATTCAAGGTTTATAAGCACCTTTATGGCGTACCACATTACATAATTTCATAAACGGCCGCCAATAGATTATATGCAAGTAGAAATACTCTTGATTTACGTCATTAAAAACTCAAAATTCAGTCAAAGTGATATCATATTTGATTTCTACATGTAATATTACATTCAGAAATGTGGTTTTTAAAAGTCTTTATCAACTTTGAAAATTTAATTTCCGTTGAAAGTGTGACTTTTAGATCGGGGAGATTCCCCATAGACCCTATGTTATAAAATCACAAAATTGAAATATCTCTTATATTGGACAAATAATACTTTCTTTTACTGGACATAATTTAATTTGTATACTTGATATGAGGGTAACATGAAAATTTAACTACTAAAACTGATGAATATTCAAGTTCAAAGCCCCAATATAAAGTTAAAACCACTTTGGATTATATTATAGTCCTACCCAATGTTATCAAAGTGTGATATGTGAATTTTTTTTATTTCAAAAGTGGTTTCTGAAGGACTTTTTGTTCGAAAAATCGTGAATTTATTTAAAACCTTAAAACTTTTAGAAGCCAAACATCCACACATATCTTTTAATAAGCAATAATCCATACCAATGCATAGCATTCATCCTCACATGTTTTTTTTGCCGAAAAAAATTTAGAAAATCGGTTCATAAATAAGCGAGAAATGAACTCATCAATGCATGAAAATGGTTCGGAGAAAAATGCATTTGAAAATTTAGTTCTAATAGAAACCAATGGTACAATAATATCTAAAACATAATAATCTTTTCACCTGGTAAGACAATCAACATTTGTTTATTCTTGAAGTTCAGCATATTGAGAAAAGATCATGATTGACATGGAATTTTTTTTAATTCTTCTCAAAACGTTTTTGCCACCTGAGTGAGTCATGTTGACATCACTTAGGTTGCAAAATATTTTCATATACTAAAACATTGAAGTGGCACATTAGATGGCATTATTTTTTTTTACTTTTTGAAAAATGGCGGGAAACTTGAATATTTGAGAAATGAAAAGCTGGCAATTTTTTTCAAAAATCTCTAAACTTACTTTTTAAGTCATGACAAATGGAAAATGAATGATAAAACATATTTTCAAACTTTACATTGGGACTTTAAGGACATTTTCTAATACCCTGCCATTTTATTTACCCCGAATCAGCCACCTGGTGGTGAAAATGGTAACTACCTACTCGCATCTGGGTAATTGTCATGGCTTCTATCTATAGTTTAACAAATGTTTTTTAAGATAAACAAAGCTTTTGTAAAGGATTCAACGATTTGTGTAACGATTTCCAATGCATTTTGCATTTAGTGAATAAGAATGCTCAAAAATACGTCAAATCGGACCAACAGTTGCTAAATACTAAATTCTAAGGCTATAAACATACTCGTATCGATGTTTCAATATTCAATAAAGCTTATCAGCACTTTATTAACCCAATAACGAAACGAATTCCGCGATGTTTCCATGCCATAACTCCACCTAAGATGCTGTCAGTTGCAGGAAGAAGGTGTTCCACATGTGAGCATTTACCTGTGCAGCAAGTGTACCGTGATCTTGATATGAAAAACGATGTATTTCAAAACCATTGGATAACAATTGGAACGCAACAGAGAATTAGACCAAATCAATCTAATGTGTATTAAGATATATATGTAAGACAAAACACATTACCGAATGAAAAACTGGCACAGGATAACCTTTCAGCGCTGATCATCGAGAGATCGGGGTTACCTGGATATACACCTCTACAGTTGGTTGCAGCAAGCGTCGATTCGAGATGCAATTACAACAACATTTAGTGAAAACAAATTACTGAAAAAATCGAGCTGAGGATACTAAGTATCCCAGAATACATATATTTCCACAGATTGAGTTATAATTACAGAAGCTTCAAGGGCATCCGTGTGGTCGTAAAAAACAGTTTCAACTCATCTATTCCTGCTGGTATTGCGATCATCATACAAAGCGATAACGGTGATCTGTTGGGGTTATGTTCAGGTTGAATTAACATGTACATGTGCCTAAATATGTAGTGTATAAGGAGCACCAACGTGGATTGCAGATTTTACAAGAACGGTTGAGCTTTTGAATACCGTTTTTATTCGCACCCCAAAAGGATACTTATGGAAAAACATAATAGTTAGGATAGTTCGATTGGAAGCTGATTGCCCAGTTTGATTGTGTTAAGTGTGAAATGAGATTGAGATTGTGCCGGAAATAGTTTTCAGCTAGCTTGGATAATTTGATTCAATACACTTCATAAAAACATACATCAATTTATGTCAATAGTGATAATTATCAAATTACTTGCGGATTCATCAAACTCTCATATTTACGGAATATTTATGCACTAAAGCAGTTATTTATACCCCTATTTAAAATGATGATGTTCTACGAATAAAATAATTCGGGGAGAAATTGAACCAATACAGAGTGTCTGTATTATATGAGAAAATAACAAGAATCGAATTCCTAATATGAAGGACCTCGAGGACGTCCAGGAGAAGACACAGAATGGCAGAACGATTGCCATTCGGTTCCCAAGGATGGGAAAATACGAGTTTGTTACTCCGGGAAAGTATGAATCTCTGTTGTACCTCGTAGTTTGCACTGGATCGTGTTTCTTTGGCGTTTGGCACATGCTATCTATAGTGTTTATAGGTAAGTTTTAATGTTTTTTATGAAGATGGCACTTGAAAAGAATTTCGAGCTAAATTGTTCATTTTAAACCTCATAAATTTGCATCTCGTTTATGTAGATTTTTAACTATGTGAACTTCTTCCTAAAAGTTTCGTAATATATATTTCTTTATCTTGAAATGAGCCTGTATCTCAGTAAACTGCATCATTCTTGTTGGCACATCTATGGTATAGACACAATAATTAAAGAGTTTGGCAGCTTTCTAGGTGTGAGGATAATAAATTGAAAACACTGAAATTTATTTATAATGTTACATTAGGAAATGAACCATTCCACTATTGTAAAATTCCTCCGAATTCTACAATAAACGATACCATACCTTGGCAATACAAAAACGACAAATGGAGCCTGAACCAGTGCGAACGGTTTAATGGGACGGACAGAAACACAACGTTACCTTGCACAGAAGGATGGCACTATGACCCAGAGCCCGGCAATACAATTGTCACAGAGGTAAGAAATTCTTGAATGGTCTGGATGTCTGTATAGTATATTAGAGACAAAGTTTATCCCGGGGGAGTATTAAATATGTCATTCCATAACACTTATTTTTTCCTTTTGTAATTCGTAACGTAAGCGCAGGGTTTCTACTTAAATGAAAGTCAACCAAAGCAACGGTTTATCGAACATATCTTTTTATATAAATATCTACTTTTTGTTTCTTTACAAATTGTGAAACTTTAAACCAACATGGTGCTGCTAACATTTTAAATTGGATTGTTTTTTCCAAAACCCATTGTGAAAACAACAATATACCAAAAGATAAAAAATACATTGCATTGGGGGTATACAACTATGAGGCAGGCGAGAGAAGGAGAGGTTTCACCAGTAAAACATTCTTTTAAGCGTTTTCAGGTTAAGTTGCACGCTTTTTTGTACAAGAACGTTTAGAATAATGGTGGATTAGTTCTCCCATTTGTAGTGTTTATTTTGGCCGATTGAGTATAAAAGTATACGGAAAATATTGTATTTATTGAACTGAGAGCGGGACAGTAATCTACGGGGGTTGAAATAGTATACTCACAAGTACAGGTTCTCTTTTAAAGTGTAACTAAACACTCCCCCCCCCCCCCTATTAATAGAATCTGATCTTCCAGTGGGACCTTGTCTGCAAAGACAACTATCTGGCGGAGACTTCCCAGGCCGTTTTCAATGTTGGTGTGATGGTAGGTGCCGTCGTCTTCACGTATCTCTCTGACCGATATGGGCGCAAGTTCAGCTTCATTCTCGCTGAACTCATTATGGTAGTCGTCGGTGTCCTTCTTGCACTGTGTACAAACTATTACGCCTTCACCGTAATACGTTTCCTACAAGGCGCGTGTCAACAGGTGAGAAGCTGAAAGAATCGGGGAAGGTTGGCTAAGGTTTTTCAATAAATGACTTAAAATATGCAACCATCTACATTACTAGGGACAGCCAAGTCTCATTAAGGGCACTCGAGGAGGATGGGGATGTTTGGCTTTGATTTCACGCACTAAGTTATCCATTTAAATGTTGGATTAAAACTAGAAATGGGGAAAAATAAATGTAGAATGACGCCTTCCTGTACCCGTGACATTATCTTGACACACGGCAAGTATCAATTAAAAGCATCCCTTCCATTTTGTATTTACACTTTGTTTTTATCTCCCAACTCATGGTTAAACTATTTCAGGGTATCATCTTGCCTGGCTTCATTCTTGCCTGTGAACTGTTCGTCAGCCGCCAGAGAACTACTGCCGGAATAGGTGTCCAGCTGTTATGGGCCCTTGGGATGATGCTAATGGCGGTGTTCGCTTACTTCATCCGGGATTGGCACTACTTGCAGTTGGCCTTCAGCCTCCCAGGACTGTTGTGTATAAGTTTCATATGGTAAGCGATCATGACATAATGAGTAGGGATGATCGCGAGTTTGATGCTGGTTGATTAGCTCGTATTCTGGAATGTTTATTTCTGTTCATAATATAGATTGTCATAATAAGTTATAATATATTCTCTCTTGCAATTCTGAATGAAGAAGTTTAAAAAAAATTTCATTGGAATAACGTGGTCAATAATATAACAAAAGTAGGTTTGACAAGGTATGCATGGGTGCAATAACTCTACAAATTAGTAATTATACTGTTTAAAGTGTTACATATTTATCTTTTGTGTGTTTAATAGGGTAGTTCCTGAATCAATACCATGGCTAGTCGCCAATGACCGCATAACTGAAGCAGAAGCGATACTCCATCATGCTGCTGAATTCAACGGTACCGAACTGCCTGTCCGACCTCTTCACACCCACGATGCCCAAGAGGAGCAACTTTTACACAGTGAACAAGAGAAAACGGAGAAAAAATCCATCGCCCAAAGATGTCGTAGCGGCCTACGTCAAACAGGGAGTTCCATAAGAGATTGTTTCAGGTGCAAGAAGCATTCTGAAGAAGGGGTCGAGGAAGTTAAACGATATACCATAGTTGATGTCTTTCGTCATCCTAAACTCAGAATGTACTGCTTAATTATGTGCTACCTGTGGTAAGTATGACAGTTGTTGAGGGAAAATTCTCAGTTATGCGGAATCAAACGAAATGAATGCCCAACGCAAGTGGGCACTACAATGGCTAAACTCGGTTTTTAACAGAATCCCCATTCACAGAATACATAATGTCTCTGATGTGCATCCCAATATCGGAACAATACATAATCAAACATCGTAATCAACAGCTTTTTGTTCTTGTAGGTTAGTCAGTAGCTTGGTCTACTACGGTCTGTCCCTCAGCACGTCAGCCTTGGCTGGTAACATGTACCTCAATTTCTTTATTAGCGGGGCTGTTGAGGTGCCAGCATATATTCTTTGTATCATACTACTGCAAACGTGAGTACAATTAACTTTAATGTTCCTATTATAGATTTTTGTGATGGTTTGAAGAAAGTGAGCTATTTTTATACCCACTTTGTGCATGTTGTGTGTCTGTCCATCCATTCTTCTACAAGTGGCAGGTACTATTCATATTTAAATAAGTTGGTTAATCCGTTAGCCGTTAGTTGCATTCGCGAATACAAGTTAAGAGTGCATCAAATACAGAGGGTCGTTATTGATATTGTTACCCTTGGGTTCTATTGTAAATACTACCTACATGTATAAGTAGATAGTACTACTGATGATCTCATTATGATGTTTCAGGTTTGGAAGGCGATGGCCGTTATGTATTTTCCTGTGTACATGCGGGGTAGCATTGATAGCGTGTGCCTTTACACCAGATAAAGGTACAGTGAATATGTTAAGAAAGAAGTGGCTTGGACTACTGATTCGTGAACTCAACAGATGTCTTAAAACATGCACGATGCACGTTCACAGACCAAAATCTGCTTCTTAAAAGTCGATGCGGTATTTGTTGAGAACAATAAACGTGTTTATTTTTGCATGTCTTCACAATATAATGTGAAATATTATGTTATATTATATCTTAAAAAGCACAAAAAGACCTTTCAAATGAGCAATAGCTTGTGTCTTAACAATTTTTCCTTGCAAATATAGACCAAACTTTGAATTTTGCACATTTTCCCCTTAATTTTGAGCACATTTTTGGCTCTGTAGCACAATTTTAATTTTTGTGATAAGACCGGTTTTCCTATGGCTAGGCTCAAATACAATTTGACCAGTTGATTATGTTACAATTTAAAACTCACGTACGTACGTAATGGCATGATTTCAGTAAATGGGTACGATTTGGGATGGCTTTTGATACTGCTCACGATGATAGGCAAGTTTGGAATAACTGGTTCATTTGGAACTGTGTTTCTTTATGCTCCTGAATTATACCCGACCAATATACGGTAAGTACCGTACGCACTCAGGTAAGTTTCCCTTTTTTGTGACTATATATCCAATCACGAGATTGGTCAACAGTTTTTTTATCTAGACAAAAATTATCAACGGGAAGCACTTTATTTCCCGTTATCATACAGGGTGGACCAAAAAATGGGACACTCCCATATATTCTATTTAAAAGAACATATATTAACCAAATGGCATAACAATTGAGTATTACATTTCATATCGTATTGAGCTTTTTGTTTCTACCAAGTAAAGGCCAAATGGGGCCATGTATGATCCAGGCTGAGTACAGAGGCCATGCAATGTCAGAACTGTTTTTAAAAAGTTATATTATACTTTTGAGAAAAGAAAGGAGAACATCTTTATTTGACACCCTGCAATTGCGTTTTAGAAATTCTGGAATGGGTGTGGCCTCAGTTGCAGCACGTATAGGGGGTATTCTTGCCCCATACTCAGCATACGTGGTAAGTAAAAATGGTTTTGAAAATACACTTATTTTTCACTTCATAAATTGAACATTTTTCTGATATGTATGTAATAATATATAAAGATCAATTTATCTGGCACGTATTACTAAGTAAAGCTTTTTGAATAAATATGATGCTCATTGTCTTAATCACAATAAGTCGAAAATTGGGAAGTCTCGATTCATGGAAACAATTTGATGACTACGTATATTAACTCTAGATGAAGTTCCTCCCATGGTTTCCACCTACTTTATTTGGCGTAATGTCGATTGTTGCGGGCCTGCTGACCCTTCTTCTCCCAGAGACTCTCAACAGACCACTCCCACAAAGCATTGAGGAGGTCGAAAATTGGAAACGCACAGTAAATGTATAAGAACAGACCAGCACTAACAAGAAATTGCCAATGAATGCAACTTGAGCTCACATGACATTTAAAAATGTCAAAATCAAGTTAAGAGCAAGTCACACTAAATTACAACAGACAATTAGTGTGAAAATAGGTGCAGATAGAACATCATAATGTGTATCTTATGATCAAAACCGAACCCATTTTTTCCATTCTAATGTTACCCTACTACTACCACTACCATTTGGCTAATATCCCCCATATCTTAATAGTCCTACCAAGTTGAATTATTTTATTTACTAGCATATATCGTAATGCATGTAATTACATGTTGTATTATACAGGATCAATATTGAATAAACATTTATTTATTAAAATTAATAATCAAATAGTGTGTCAGAATTTTCAAATTCCAAGGTTAAAGTCAATGCAGCTAATTAATCTGTACACGGCGTATGTTCACATTGGGATTAGTAGGGATATTACAATCACAGCGTGTAGTCTAGCAACAAGCTCTCCTCCCAGTACTCAGTCTTGACGCAAAACTACATAACACGACATTTGTCCATGTAAGCATAAGTACCAAAAAACCAAAAAAGTATTAGAGAATACACAAAGAAAAACAGGAGAGAAAAGAAAACATATTCGATCCCACAAAGAAACCTTGTCTAACAGCCCCCCCCCTCGAGGAATTAATCTAGAACTAATGTTTAATAGTTCATGTGAATAAGTGTTCATTGAGCATTGCAATATGAAAACTATATTTGTATATGCTATACTCCAGTTCAAATAAAGTAAATAAGTGATAATTGCAACATGAATTTGCTTTATTTTCTATCCATCATGTACATTAAATGTTACAAATTGCTGTTGTTCTGTACATTCGTGCATTGTGCATATCAAATAATCTGTTGCTCAAACGAAACGTGACTATTTTGTATGATAAAACAGAATTCGGTATTCGGTTTAAAATTTTGATCAGAACACAAACAAAATTATTTGTGTTCAATTGAGATATAAGTAACAATTATCAACTCGAGTTTAACGTTTATCCTAAATGTTTTGAAGTGTTTTATTGTATAATTTTAAAACCAGGACTATTGGTAACTTGAGCAACAGGATTTTGATCCACGTTATGGAGTAGTGCGCTTAATCCAAGTCCCGCCATTTGGATCATTCGAGACCCAGCAGCCGTTGCAGTAGTACTCATATAGTTTGTTATGACAAGTATCCTTCATGAATATCTGAAAATACAAACATACATACCATATAAGAAGATATATTAGGGATACCAGTAATACATTTTCGCGGGTCACAATAAAACATTTCCTTGGTACTATAGTTCCTTCTTTTCATTGTGCTATGGTCACCAATATAAATAGACGTTTATATTAAAATCAATGCTTGTAAATCTAGGAGATTGGGGTATAATGTAAATATAAAATATGTCATTTAAAAATGATATTTGGGGCAAAAATGGAATTATAAATGTATCTTGGAATAGCACGTCTTACAGTTTTTATTTGCCACCTATCCCATGGTCTGCTGGTTTGTCTCACGTATATCCAGTCTGCTGGTAGGCCACCAATTGCTTGTGGATAAGGTCCATACAAATCCCAACTAAATCAAGGAAAATTAAATTTTTAGAGATCGGAGAGGGAGAGGTTCAAAATTTGTATTGCGCATAATTGCATTTACCAACCATTGTTATAATTATGCTATTCCAAAATAATTTAGAGTAAAACTTGACTAATCCTAATGTCGAAGGGCGGGACTAGCTGAAATGCTAGAATTGTGAATGTTTATTTTATGAGACGGGGTAATTTTTTGAGTATGACTTCAATCTTCAAATACAAGGATTTTAAACCTCGAGTGAGGTGAAGAAAAAAGAACGAAAAACTGTTCACATTGGGAGGTGTACCAAAATTCAGGTTCCATTGTATATTAAATAAGGATTCTTGATATTTTATTGAATTGTGCTGTTTAGTTTTAAGTTGCAGTTATATGTATATTCCTCAAAATTAAAATGAATATGAACAGCTCTAAGTATGTAAAACGTTTGTGACAGAAGAGAGAAAAAATTTGTCACCAGTCGCCTTATCCATCTCATTGACACATTATATTCATGTTAAATATTGATTAACTAGATTTAATAAAAATCAAACACGGGGCTTGACAAAATCGTAAAGAACAGGTATTCGATAAGACAATAATATTGAGACTACAATATGTTTTCATAAGCTAAATATGTTTCTTTGGTATTTTCTGTGCTGTTTAAATAAGTACTTACTGTCCCTCTTCCCTGTCATCGCCTGGATTATTCTCAGCTTGCCATGGTGACCACTGCCAAACCAAAAACCTCAATCTCCAAAATTGAAATGAGAATAAAGCATTGGTCCCTGAATAAATGCCTTTGGATGTGAGTGTGTACATGATGAAGCATCCTGAATGTAAGCCACTGCTCTTTGCTGCTGGAGCATCCTCGGGATCACCAGAGCTCAAACCTTCAGATTTGCCTATAATCAAAGTATGTTTTCAGGTCTTAATTAAGCCATCTCTAATAAAGCCATTCTTTGATAAAGGCTATTTGAAATATATTTCAATGGATTAGAAATACAACAAATATCATGTAGTTAAATGGTGTATTTACATCCAGAAATACAACATTTCCTATTTTGTATTTGAGTCTATTTTTTTAATAACTGAACATACGTTTCAAATGCTTCATTATTTCAAAAAAACACTCCACCATGAGACAAGTTCCTTGTATGATTTCTGATTTTCAATGCTGCATATCATTTTACTCGAACACTGTAACAGTCAGGGATTGTGGTTTCTGGTATGATATGAACTGCCCAGACTATGAGTGAATGTTGGTGTAGTTTAATTATATACACCGCTAAAAAATTGATCAACTCACCAGATCTATCATATTCCGCGTTGGGTGGTGGTCCGCCGCCACCACCACCGCCGCCGCCGGGTGGACCTAGACACAAATTTCATAGTAAAGCTATGAAGTGATTTAAGTTCATATAATATAGCCCGTGTCATCTCTCTCTTATATTCCAGTCAATCTATAAATGTAAAGTGCATTACAACGTTGATCATTATATCTTGAATATAGGACACTTCAGACAAATTAGTATACTTTCTCAACTATAACACAATGTGAACATTATAAGGACATAAGGAAAGAGTTCTATGACAATGGTAAAGTCACAGCACCCCAGATAAACATTAACTCAAATAATGGCCCGGGTAAACCGATCCCTCTTAAGCATGAGAAAAAACATCCCAAATTTATTGGTTTCGACTTTATTTAAAATGTGGCAAAAAACGAAATTCAATATTGAGAGGGTCTCAAATGATCAAAATAACCGCTTATTAGATATTTATCCTAATCAACTTAAAATACTTAAACTCTAAACTCATACTGATACATTATGTGAACAACAGTGCAATAATTGTATATGTTGTGTATGTTTATTTAATGGCCATCGTTCCAAATTGTAGAGGGGCTGTCTCATAAGCCGACATCGGCTGGTAGTGTTTTAGTTTACTGTGTATTTGACAATGTACATGTATGTATACTTTTAACACTAGTGACACTAAAATGAAATATTTTTAATTATAATTATAACACTTGCAAAAGTTTTACCTCATAAATGCTTGCAAAAATGAATGTTTATGAAAATTATTCCAGGTAACTTTAATGTTTTCTTAGAGTACATTCTCTCGCAAGAACATCTCTCAAAATTTCGATCAGTGATTTCTGACGGATTAATTCAAAGACATGGATAAAATGTTGTTAATTACAAAATGAATCCGTTCAAATAAAATCAGACTAAATATACAGAATATAAAATTGTTTTAATGAAAAATAAAAAACTATTTGAAAAAGCTACAGTTATTAAGATTTGAGAGCAGGAAATCAATTGTAAATGTAAAATATTCTATTATATTTGAACACCAGATTTTAATAAGTTTTTATACAAAACTTACGTTTCCTTCCCTTTCTCCCTGCAAGCGCCGGTATTGCTGCAACAAACACTAAGAAACAGACGATCAAAGTCCGAGTATACATCTTGGTGCAATATCTTGTTCAGTCGACGTGATTCCCGAGCACCTACCTGGATGGTCACTGCCGGTCCAAAGGTGGCTTTTATAGGATAATTACCCATTGCCAAGGCTAGATCTATACAATTCGAGCGTGAAAAGAGGTTCAAACAATTTTACTGTTATTGCTTTACCGTACGCATTTTTGATGAATGTTCTTTTTGAATTGCAGCAACAAAAACTTCAATTAAAAATTTGAATTGCTTTAAACAATATGTGTTTTAACATGTTAAAGGGCTGTAAAACAGGACATCAGTACAATTAAATACGTGGGATCATTGTCAGAATTGATTGAATTTTTATCAAAAAAATATTGAATAAAAAAAATATAATTTTCGAATTGTTTAAAAGATTGATATGATAGATGATGAAAAGATATAAAACAGGATATAACAATAAAATGTTGGATCATTATCAGACTAATATAATAGCCTATTTGACTGGATGTTTATCAATATGTATATGAATGTGATATTCCCATTGAAAGCATTGAAAATAAACGCAAAAAGAGCGTTTGAATATATGACAATTAATATCAATAAAGTGACACAGCGAACTAACTGTCGATTACATTATGATAGTTAATGACCGATTAGAATATACCAAACAATAACATCATGTTTTCAATGTGCAGTATTCAATGTGATCAGTTTAAGTAACAATTACCATATATTTATTAAGCCATACTAAGTTCGAGTTTATTTGACAGAAAGCAAGTCGATGCCATGTCGATGCCGTTTGCGGGTATCTTTCATTTCGGTTTGAATAAAAATTTTGTGCGTTTATAGCATAATAGAGAGTTTAAACTTGCATTGTTTTTCACAACGTAAGAGTATACGTGTTCTATTCTAGGGAAGATAGCTGACACGCTCTAGCCTTTAAACGTGTAGTTAAAGAAGTTGAATTAAAATTTCATTTCAAATTCCATTTCATTTTTGCATTTCATATTTTATATTCTGGTCAAAAAGCGAACAAGAATTTTGTTTTTTCTGTCAAAATTGAAGTAACGAAGCGACGGTTATGTCCGCCATTTGTGACAACGGTATCTGACTTTACCGTAGTCAGGCTATTGTCTGTCATTTAATTTATTTCGATTATTTTTTGTATAACGCATGGAAACTAATTTTAAAAAGTGAGCAATGTCATAAGTATTGTGAAAATAACGTCCCTTATACCTATCTATTACAGGTCGTGTAGACCATTGTTGCCCGATTTATAGCAAAAACATTGACTTTTGCATGTTAGTGATGGTGCGCCTTTTTTAATAGATCTCATATCTTAGAAGGGTATCAGTTCAAAGAAAATTTCAAAATCACAAGGTTCTGTTTTAGGTCCCCTCCTATTTATTATCTTTATAAATGATATTTATTTAACATCAGATAAACTCAAATTTGTTCTCTATACAGATGATACAAATATTCTATTGACTGATGATAACATTAATAATCAGCTGAAGAAAGACATAAATGAAGAATTAAAAAAGGTTCATGACTGGATGATTTCTAATAAATAAACACTCAATGTAGAAAAAACTAAATTTATGATTTTTGACAAAAAAAGAGTTAACAAAATTGACAACTTTGAAATAAAATTAAATAATCAACTAATAGAAAGGATAAATCATATTAATTTTCTTGGTGTAATTATTGACTCTAAGCTAACATGGGCTCCTCGTATAAATACACTCTGCACCAAAATTTCGAATTTGATTGGATTGATATATAAAACTCGGCATAAATTGACATCGAATGCCTTGTTTACTACGTACTATTCTTTAGTTCCTATCTTAGTTATGGGAATATTCTGTGGGGCAATGCAACGAAAAATCATTTGAACAGACTTTTTTATTTTACAAAAGAATCCTATCTTCAGAAAGTTCAAAATATTAAATATTTTTGACATAGATAAATATCAGATTGCAACATTTATGCAGAAAACTGTGACTTAATCAAAAGATTTTCCATCTCGTAATTCCAAGCATTTTTTCAAGAGAGAATTGACATACATTCCCATGATACGAGAAATAAATATAATTTGTTAATAAAGAGATTTAGAACTGAAACTGGTCCTAAATCAATTTCGGTCAGTGGAGCGACACTTTATATTTCTTTGTCAACAGCTTTTAAAAAGGAAAAACCATATAAAACAGTTCGAAAAATTGATCAAACGTGATCTTCTGGTTTTTAATTAAAACACGATTGTTGAAAATCTAGTGAGCCATGAAATTTATATGTCTTTTTCATGTATTGTATGAAACATTGTATGATTGATTTTTAATTCAATAAATTGAATTGAATTGAACTAATTTATTTGGTACGACCCTCCCAAACTTTGTTGAGGGTAGTAGGCAGACCACCAAAACGCACCTCATGTTAAAATAACATAAATATGTGAATTTTGCAAGTCAATATTGCTTTATTTTTCATCCATCATGTACATTAAATGTTACAATATGTTGTTGTTCTGTAACCCACTTGTACATGTCTTTACACTGTTGCTCATAAGGAACATGCCTATCTGCATTGGATTTAGACATGTTTGACAAGACATAGATTACCTGTGTTGAATTTGCATAAAGCGTAGAGGAAGAATTTCAACTTCAATTTCAACAAAATATTTAGTTTTAAGTTTATCCCAAATCTTATATAATATTAATTAAATTAATTATATTAATATCTATTGATATTAAGATAATGTACTAGTGCCATTAGTGAAAGGAGCAACAGTGATTTGATCCATATTATGGAATTGTTCTCTTAATCCATGTTCCGCCATTTTGATCGTTCGAGACCCAGCAGCCGTTGCAGTAGTACTCATACAATTTCTTATGACAAACATCCTTCATGAAGATCTGGAAATGCAAACATTAAAATGACACTAGTATTTTATTCCCATAGCCGAGTTTTGTCCTTAATTAGCAAGCTATTCCCCATTTTTGCTCAATAACGTCTTGTAATTCATCGTAGTTGTGTTTGGTTATATACCAATATAAAACTGAATCAAGATGCCCAATGTCTCTCTTGTGAATACATGCCACCCGGTTCAGTAGAATATATCTTGCTTCGAAATAAGGATAATACTGTAAGGTTTTGGAAGTGTACTTACAGTTTTTATTTGCCACCTATCGTAAAATCTGGTAGTTTGTCTTACATAAATCCAGTCTGCTGGTAGGCCACCAATCCCTTGAGGGTAACCTCCATACAAATCCCAACTAAAATAAATGGGAAGGAAATTCTATAATTCTGTTTTGTTATACTTTGACTTTTAATGCAAAGGAAAAAGTCTCACTCTTCGCAACATTTGCAAGAAATATTGAAACTTGAAATTTCCTATATACGTATTTCAGGTGACAATTTTATCGTGCTGAAATAACCTGTAACAAAATTCAATCAGCTGTAGAACTTATAATACCTTGTAAACATGTGCACGAATATGAGCAATTGTTTAGTAATATTCATTAGCTAATTCTATTTGTTTGATATTATACTCACTGTCCCTCTTCTCGGTCATCACCTGCGTTATTTTCAAGTTTCCAAGGGGACGACTGCCAGTACCATGTCATCCATCGATAAAATTTAAACTTGAATAAAGCATCGGTTCCTGAATAAGTGCCTTTGGAAGTGAGTGTATACATGATGAAGCATCCTGAATGTAAGCCACTGCTGATCCCTGCTGGCTCGGGTTCACTGGAGCTCAAACCTTCAATTTTGCCTGTATTCAAAGAACAAATTGCGCTTTTACGATTGTTGAACTAAAGCAACGTTGGCAATGGGGTTTGGATAATTATGAACGGTCGAGTGGGCCGAACGGATGGTGGGCCTTACCATGTCCGTGTGAGGAGGGTTGCGATAGTTACGAAGCTTTGTCTATTTGTCAAACGTTTTACTTTTTTCTCTCAAAAGCCAGTAGATTGTAGGAAATGAAATGAAAGTATATTTGAAGATTTTTATATAATACAGATTTAGATATTCATTGCCACGGACTGTAAAATGTGTATCAAATACTGCAATATAGATTTATATGGCAAAACATTCATAGTTAATGTATCATGTAAAGTCAAGAAGAGATGTGATACGAGTCGCAGAGTCGGAATGTAGATCTGAAATTATGACAATTCAGGTAAAAACATTGTTCAACTCACCATTAGTATCATACTTCGGTGGCCCAGATGGTGGCTTCTCATCGCCGTCACCATCGTCACCATCTTCGCCGCCGCTTGGAACTAGGAGGAAATATCATATATTGTTTCATTCACCCAAAAAGGTAGCACAAAATAGATAAATCGTGAAATATATTGATGGATGAATTTTTAGAAAGTATATATTTTGACCTTGCCAACTGATTTTACCGATTTATTAACATCTTTGTCGAATAACTGATTTTTGACTTAAAAATGCAAGTTCTCTTCGACACATTTTCCATGTTTTTCCACTCAGATTGGCCAGGTTCCATTTGTTAACGTAATTAGGAAATTAAAAGTCTTGCCAAGAGTATGCACAGGAAATTAAGCATGGAGTGCTTCATCATATCCCTTACTCAGATTAATTTTAAAGCCTACATCACAGTTATTGCGTCAAATCGTTAATATATGATAACATATATTTAAAGTGTACATCCGAATATTTTGTCACTGTACGTTGTCGATGGTTAGGCTTGTACTAAAGAATTGTTTTCATCATTTTGCAACCGACCATCCCTATCCCTTTATAGAAATGTTAAAACATGTCTTTCAAGAAGAGTAACATGGAGCAAGACAAAAAATCGTAGGTCGGGTTGTTTTAAACTAGAATCTGACCTGAAAGGTGGAATAAAAGTGATGGCTTTTCTAAATTATGTCCCACCAATTCTTATGATTCAATGTCCCATCGCCTGTTCCTTCGCCCCACCCTCCAAGATAAAAGAAATCTATTGTGGGAAAATATTATTTTTATAATTAGTCTTTTAGATTTTCCCATTTGTGCAATTTTATGTTTAATCTAGCTTAATCGTCCATTTATGCAAGGTTTCTAGGGAAAGCTCTGTTGACAAGAGATAATTCCTTGGTATTCCTAGATAGAAAGGGAATCCCCTCATTTGCTGCAATGCAGGGCCTCTGATTTCAAATAGTGATAATCTGTGCCTGTGTGACTCATGCCATCAGGAGATCAGTAAGTAGGTCGCCATCTTGAATGAAGCAGTGTGAATTTAAGTTTGAAAGAAAATCTATAATTATCGTGCTTAGGAGTAGTCATCAGCCAGTGGATTGGGAATAATTAGCAAGAGTATAGCAGGAAGACACGCCAGGAAGGTTCAGAAGGAAAACATGATAAGATCCTGGACCCTAGAGAAAGCAACACTTATTCGGGTGAGGTTTTTCCTTTTTGTTTATTTGATTTTATGGCATGCTACTAAGATGCCTCTGACTGACTATATTTTCTTGTTTCATGTGAACCATAATTTGTAACTTTATGGCCAGCATGCTACTGAGATGCCTCTGACTGAATGTAATTTCTAGTTCATCGTGTACCAAGATTTACTGTGTGTCGCTATTTGATGTCCAAGGTTTTCTCAGGTTAATGAGATATTTGTAAGATTTGTTGAGAAGCAAGACATTGTAGAAGGAGCTAATGCGTCAGTTCGATAAAACCACTGACCACAGATAGTTCCAGAAAGACTTCCATCGCAGTGAGGAGCCTTCCTAGAAAATTCAAGAGCCAGAGGAGCATAGCAAAGAGCCGAAGTAGCTAAAACAGGCTAAAGAGCTACAGGAGCCGAGACAAGCTGAGGAGTCATAGAAGCAGAGCAAGGCTAAAGAGCAAGAAGAGTCGAGTAAAGAGCCATTGAGAGTTATTGTGTTGTGTCAGTTCGGTTTCACCACTGACGACAGATATTTCCAAGAAGACTTCAATAGCATCGAGCAGCTAGGAGCCTTCACAATAAGCAAAGAACCCGAGGAGCCGAGCCAGAGGAGCCAAGCCCTAGAGCAAGAGAGCTAGGCTAAAGAAGCCCAAGGAGCCAAACCAAAGTAAAGAGCCAGATTTGCTGAGTAGAGCTTAAGAGCCAGAGGGGCTGACCAAAGAGCAAAGGAGTCAAAGGAACTATTGTGTCAGTTCGGTTTCACCACAAACCACAGATGGTTCCAGGAAGTCTTCCATCGCATTGAGCAGTGAGAAAGAGCTAAAGAGCCATAACATGCCATAGTAGATAGCTGAGCAAAGAGCCATAAGAGCTCAGTCAAGCTAAAGAGCCAGAGGAGCCGATCAAAGAGCTACAGTAACAAAGCAGTAACGGCCACTACCAAGCTTATAAAGAGAGTTCAAAGTAACATTTTAATCTATGGAAGTTGAATTATGTTATTTTCTTGTATAAATAGTGTGCACTGAAATATATGTATTAAATTAGAAGCCATTTGTAACAATATGTAAAAGTATTTTTGGTGAAGCATTTACTGGAGAGATATCCAGATATCGGAATTGCCCCGAACCCACCATTTTTTCATTCGTTTACATGGGAATGACGATTTTCAAAAATTCACCAAATTTGACATCAATTTTCGACCTATGATAATTGAGGAAAAAATTGGGAAAATTTAGAGGCATTGAAATTGAAGTCAAGTTACATTTCCATCTTTATCATCAGTATTGTCATTGCTGGTTATGTAAATAAAAATTCAAATATGAGGATGCTTTAACATGAAGTCCAATGGGGGAGTTAGAGTTGCCAAACGTATGGAGGCGATTGTATATTCTAATATAATTGAATAGTTAATATCTAGGATGCCGTTTAAAAATCAAAAGGACAACTTTTTTCAAATGTCAAATTTTTACAAAATCTAAAACAAGTTTTTATATCGTAATCAATAATTAGATCAGATCAAAAACTATTTTCAAACGTGTGGTCTTTCTAAAATGATCCGTTACCCCATGTACCTAAGAATGCCCCCAACGGTTTCATTGAATATAACATGGAACTAGTTACTTTTATCAATTATGAACACATCTAAAACTAAATTAGGTCATTGGGATTAAAACTAAGGTCATTCAGTGTATTTAAGTTTGACTATGTATATCATTCTTAATATCAGGACACAAAGGGAAACATATTGAAAACATTAATCATAAAATAACCCCTAAAAACATAATATATCAATGAATCTTAAAGGCGCATTTTGGGAATTTTCAACATTTTTGTGCAAAATAAAGACTTACATTTAAATTTCATAGTATGTCCAATGTGTTGATAAGAACCTTATCTTTAATTTGACACCAACAACAGCTCAAATGGACCACATCAAAGCTTTCAATAAATTATCAAAAAATATTTTTCATCTGTCAAGCTTTATACAAGTTTTTATCAATGTCATTGAAAGATGGCAGAGTTGTTTGTATTACATGATTCATTTATTTTTATAGAAGTGTCGCCATCTTTTAAATTAATAGTAATCTAAAACATGCGCTTTGTTTAACATGTGCATGCATGTCTAATGCTCTCTGATCTTCAAATGCTTTTTTTCTACATGAGTTACTTTTTTCTTGGTTCAATATAAAAGCAAATCAAACTTTGTGTCATATTTGAGCTAGTGTGTGAGTTACATGTTTCAATGATTTTTTTCTTCTAAATTAAGTATAGTGCGCCTAATAAAGGTGTTCTCGGCAAACGTACCATTATCACCTCAGTTGGTATGCAGTAGGTTTAACCTAGGCATTCAATTCAGAGAACATCTTAAACATCATTTTCAAAGGTAGGACACAAAGGACAACATATTAAAACACAAAACCAAAGATTGAATTTTAAAATTGAAAAAGGTGCATGTAGGATAGTTTCTTTGTCATTTTTAAACCTATCGTTTTGCTATCAAACAAGGGGAGGTATTTTTTAATCTATCAATTGTGTAAGTAACATAATCATTATGAAGTAAAATATTTTAATGTGACTTGGGATGAGAACTGTCTTACAAGTAGTGTCCCTTTAAATGGCTACGTGGATTTTGATTTAGTCTCTCGGTAATATATTATCTTCAGGGGTAGGCATGAATGAAGAATCAAAAATAGATTGACCTATTAGTTTATTTGGGTGAGAACTACCTACAAGCAGTGTCCCTTTAATGGCTTCAGTCTCAATTGTTTCAGTCTCATATTCAGTAATATATCATCTTTAAGGGCATCCATGAATGATCGATCAAAGATAGATTGACCTATTTGTTCTTTGGGTGAGAACTACCTTACAAGCAGTGTCCCTTTAATGACTAAATGGATATTAATTCAGTGTCTCTTCAACGTATCATCTTCAGAGGTAGGCATAACTGATGAATTAAAAGTAGATTGACCCATTTTGGTGTGTATTTGATTCTTTTTTTTAAATATCTTAGTGTTCATTAGCATAAGAACTACCTAAAAAACAGTGTCCCTTTAATAATTAAATGGATATTAATTCAGTCCCTCTGCAATATATCATCTTCAGAGGAGTTCATAACTGATAAATCAAAAATAAATTGACCCATGTGATACTTGTCTGATAGTTTGTAGCCTTGATATCTGGCAGATATAATATGACCTCTCTATAAAACTAAAAAGATTGCTATACTTTCACATTGTATATCTTCCGCAGTCAGGACCCCCTCTGCGGAACTGCAATACTGCAGAAGTTTATTCAGTCTTAAAAACAAGAACACAATAGGATGCCTTTCGAAACAATAGGATTACAAAGTATATATGCATGACTGATCTGCTATTTGAAATTTAGTATTATCTGACATATTGTCGTTTTACATGTATATGTATACTGAGAAGTCAATTTAAGTGTATCTACAAAAATCAAGATTTTATTCAAGGTTTTCTGAAGATATGTGAAAATTACTCATTTTATGAGTCGGAATGACATGTGTTAAGAATCACTGCAAAAACAACTTTTTACCATATTCTAAATATTATTTTTATGATTTGTTGAAAATATACTTCTTAAAGATTCAAATTATATACAAATAATTCTGGAATTCAATTTTTTAATAATTAATTTCAATAATTTCAATAATTCAATAATTTTTTAAGTCATTATAGGTACACTTATGGGTACGGATCCTTTGGTATATGATAAAAAAAGTAACAGCAGCAGAAAGGTTCTCCATTTGGGCATTTGAATTTCTCATCATATTTTTTCTCCCGGCAAATTCCGTTTCGGGTTCTAAAACATAAATAGTGCACATATCC